CGTCGGCGGCTATGGCGGCGGCCTCTCCGGCGAGCGGCTCTCCCGCGACCATGGCTACCGACGCGTGGGCGACGTCAGCGCGCCGTGCGACGTCGAGACGGTCAACCAGCTCCTGGCGGACCGGCAGGCCGCCAAGCTGAGCCGCGACTTCAACGCGGCGGACCAGCTGCGCGAGCAGCTGCGGGGGTTGGGCATCAACGTGCACGACAAGGAGAGGACGTGGAGCGTCGGCGGCAGCTTCATGGTCGGCGACTGGAGCCGCTACAGCGCCGTCTCCAAAGCCGGCGGCAGCGTCGACGGCAGCAGCCCTCGCCCCTCTGGCGGCACCAGCGCCATCGCCGCGAGCGGGCCGCTGCCGCCGGGCTGGACGTCGCACGACGACCCCTCTGGGCGGGCCTACTACCACAACGCCGCGACCGGCGAGTCAACCTACTCGCATCCGGGAGAGGCGGCGGCCGCGCCGCGTGCGCCGGCGCCGGCCGCGCCCGCCGCGCCGCTCGCGGGCTTCGACATTGTGGCCGCGGCGAGGGCAGCCAAGGAGAGGCTCGCGCAGCGGGCGGCGGAGGCCGCCGCCGCGTCCGCCTCGCCTGCGGCTGCGGCGGCACCCGCCGCGCAGGCGACGCTCAAACGCGCCCGCGACGAGCAGTAAGTGAAGCGCGGCTCGCCGCAAGCAATCGCGCTGCCCTTTCGTCGTCTCCCATATCTGTAGACAGGAACCTCGAGTCCCACAGTGGCTGGGCGAGTCGTACCGAAAAAGAAAAAAAGGGAGAACCGAGTCCACAGCCCGCTCGCTCGCGCGCGCGCTCGCTCTTGCGCGCATCATTTTTTGTGTGCGTTCGCGCTTCACTTCAAAGAAGCATGGAGCAGTCGTCGTCGTCGCGCTCACGCCGTCGAAGACGAAAGTCTGCGACTCCAGCGCCGCCACCAACGCACAGTGTGGCGTGCCTCCACAGTGCGACTCCCACGACGCCGCTGCAGGCCTCCACCGCGGCGCCGGCGACGCCGTTGGCAGCCACGCCCTTCTTTTCGCCTGCAGCGCCTCAGTCCGAGGACTTCAGGCAGTGGGCGCTGCTCTCGCCCTCACAGGCCCGATCGTTCCTCCGCACACCGCGCGTCACGGCCGCTTCGCCGTCGCCCACGAGTGCTGCCGCGCCGGTGGCGGTGGCGGCGCCGGCAGCACCGAATCCGCTGGCTACGCTGCCGCCGTGGGCGCTGCGGCTGCTGGCGATGCAGCAGCGCGCGCTGCTGGCGCTTAGGCAGTCGCTGCACGCCGCGCGCGCAGACGCTCGCTCGCTCGCCTGCGCGCTCGCCGACGCCGACGAGGAGCTTGCGCTGCGTGCAAGCGGAGGCCGCGCCGCCGCGCCGGCAACCCCGCGCGGCGAGGGGCTGGGCGTCGTGGCGGACCATCGCGGAGCCCAGCCGGCACTGGGCCCATGCTGCGCCGCCGATCCGCTCCACGCGTGGTACGCTCCGCGCAGCGGCTCGGGCGAGCTTTCGGCGCTGCCTCCGGCGCCGGCGGGACGGCTGGCATGGGCCGAGGCGGAGGCGCTCTCGCTGCTGCTGGACATCTACAACTGGCTCCTCGGACAGGGCCCGCCCTTCTCGCGGCGCGCGTTCTGGCTCGAGGCACGCGGCTGCTCCCTCAGCGGCCACTCCCTCGCTCTCCTCCACTGTCCCCGCCGCCCGACCGCAGGGCGTGCCGCGCGCGGGCGCGATGCTGGCGGCCGTCGGAGACCACGACGCGCTGCGCGACATGGCGCGGCTGGTGTGGCGTCAGGGAGCGCAGGGCCTGGCCACGCCTCGCTCCCCCCGCGGGTCGCCGCCGGCAGCCTCGTCGCCGTCCGCAGAGGAGGGCGCAGCGGCGGCGCTGGTGCTGCAGAGCGAGCTGCGGCGGGCGCGGGACGCGATCAACCTGAGGCTGATGCGGACCAACGTGGCGATGGCCCACGCCGAGTCGTCCGCAACTTGGGCCGACGCAGCCGAGGCGATGTTCGGCTGGCTCCAGGCGTGCGCCCCCTCGCCCCGCCCCCGGTTCCCAGTCCTCCCCCCTACCTGCCCCCAGTTCCCACTGCTCATGCCACGCGCCGGCCTCCTACTCACCATTGCGTGTGCCTTGCCCCGCCAGTCGCTCCCCTCGCTCCTGCCACCGATGCCGCTCTCCGCTTGCCTCCGCGGAGGCGGCGGCGTGGTCCGCTTGAGCGCGCCGGCGGGGCAGCGGTTGTACGCCCTCAACGACACGGGGGCAGAGGTGCGCGTCGCCGTCTCGCCGTGCGAGGGCGGCGAAGTGGACGGCGGTCCGCCGGCACGGGCGCCGCCGTCGACGCCGCGGACGTGGGGTGGCGCCTCCGCCGAGCTGTTGGCCACGCCTCCGCCGCACGCGCGGATGACGGCGGCGGCCGCCGCCGCCGCCCGATGGGAGGTTGTCCTTGCGCCCGGCGAGGTGGCGCCCCTGAGCGGCGACGGTCCGCTCTGTGGCGCGCTGCGGCTGCGGCTGCGATTCGCCGACGCTCCCGGGCCGGCGGCGTCCAAGCCGGTGGACTTGGTGGTCGACGCGCAGCGCGTGGACGGCACCTCACAGTACAACGGCGAGTGCGAAGACGACCTGGAGGCGGCGGGGCCTTGCCAGGGACGCGGCCAGCGGCCGCAGGCGGAGGAGGGCGCTCGCGGCGACAACCCGTTTGCTCGGCCAGAGGTGGGACGGTGCTTCGAGGTTGAGGAGGGGGCCGCTGCGACGCCGACGTCCGAGAGCAGCCTCAGTCCGCACGCCGCCGAGCCGCTCCTCCGCCAGGAGGGCCACGGCCTGTCGCACGCCGAGCAGGCGGGCGTGAGGGTGGGCAGCACTTGGGAGAGCCCGTCCACACGGGTGGCGGCGGGCGAGCGCTGCAGCCCAAAGGCCGCCCCGTGGCAGATCGAGCGAGCTGGCACGCTCCTCCGCCGCGCTGAAGAGGCGTGGGCGGCGCAGGCAAAGTCGCTCGCGCAAGAGTCGGAGGCCTCGGACTGCGCCGCGGGCGGCGGTGAGACGCGACTGTCCCCGACCTCTCCGCCGACCGGCGGTGACGGCGTGCCCGTCGCCACGATTCAGCTGCACGGCCCTACCGAGCGCGCGGCTGCTCTCGTCAGCCTCTCTCAGGCGCAGCGCAAGTAGGCGGCGGCAAGACAGCCAGACAGAGTAGCGAAGAGAGAGAGAGCTCCCTCGCCGCCGATATCCCGCGCGCCTCGCCTGGGAGGCGTGCGCACTCGCCTGCTAGGCGCTAACCAAGGCCGCGAACGGCGTGGCGAGCCTCTCCTCCGGGCGCACGAGCCTCGCGCGCCGCGCGACCGCCGCCCTCTCACGGTTGCCGCTCAAGTCAGAGGCCAAGGTGCGCGCCGCGCTTGCCCGGAGCCCCCCTCCGCCGCCGGCAATTCCCGAGCCTAGCGGACGCGCACTGCAGCCTCCCCAGTCGTCGCGCCACGACCCCTCCCCAGGCGCTCGAGTCGCGCCGCGAGCTGCTCGTGGGCCTCTTGCTCCACCCGACCGCCGGTGCCGCCGCAGCTGCCACCGCCGAGGTCCTTGCGCTGCCAGGTTCTACGACCCCAATGGAGGTGCCGCGCAGCTGAGGCGCGGCGCTCTGCACTAGGCGAGCGCTGCCGAGTGGGTCTCTTCGGTCGCGGCGCGCGTCGTAGCGGCTCCGGCGGCGGCACGGCCGCGCGAGCTGCGTGGGCTGCAGGCGCCGCGCGTCAGCATGGTTGTCGAAGCGTTTCGTGCCGCGTCGGCAGCTTCGGGGCCGAAGGAGTCGGCTGAGTGGGATGGCCCGGCCCTTGCCGCCGCCGCCACTCGGCTCGAAGGTGTTTGCTCTGCCCTCAAGAAGTTGGCACGGGCAGAGGCGCCGCCGCGAGCGACGACGCACCCGAGGGTCTCGCCCAGGGGGAGCACTTCGTCCAAGGGGGGTGCCGCGGGCAGCACGGCCCGTTCGCCGCTGCAGCCAATCGACTCAGCGCACAGCGGCGCGAACGCAAAGACAACCGACTCCGCGGAGGGCGCCACGGCGTCGCTTAGGCAGGAGCCTACGGGCGGCGCGCCCACGATGCCCCAGGCGCGAGACGCAGATGCGGCAGCCGCGCAAGATGCGGATCCGGCAGCCGCGCAAGATGCGGATGCGGCAGCCGCGCCGGCTGCACCTCCCAAGCCGGCCGCGGTAGCCGCCGCCGTGCCTCCGGCCGCCACGCCTCCGGACGTGTGCACGCTGGACGCGTCCATCGCGCAGCAGCGGGCGCGTCTTCAAACGGAGAGATGCCGGCCCTCTGCGACGCCACGTCCCAATCTGGTCTCCTTGTGTTACATAGGCGCAGTTGGAGCAGGAGCGGAAGCGGCTGTTCGCGCGCCGCTGCTCACGCGAGGCGGCGCGCTCGGCGGCGCTGGTCGCTACGAGGTCCGACGCCACAGAGATCGGGGCCGCCGCTCCAGCGGGCTTTGCCGAGCAAAACGGCGCCGCCGCCGCCGTGGGGCTTGCCGCAGGTGCTGGGGAAGTTCCGACCGCTCCCGAGTCTGGCTCGCCAGCAGTGGGGCTAGTGGACGCGGGCAGCGAGGATGGCGACGCGCGCTCCCACCCTCCCGCTTCGCCCGCGCCGCCCTCTGTCTCGTCGCGCATGCGTTTGCCGCCCCAGGCTAGCTCTCCCGGCGCCCACCAGCCCCTCGCCCGGAGTCGGCTCTCCCTGCCTCGGCTTGGTCTCGGGATTCGGCGCGCTTCCCTCCCGATGCCAGAGCACCGCGGCCGCGGCGGTGGGCTGTCACAAGAGGCGGTGGCCGAGGCTCTCGGCGTGGACTAGAGCTACGAGGGCCGTCCAGCCAGCCAGCCGCGCGCGGACCCCGAGAGGAGGTGGCGGGAGTGTCCCGCGGGGAGGGCGGGCGAGGGCGGGGACAGCCTCAAACCCTCTCAGGCGCCACAGTCGACCCAGTCCTCTTCACGAGGTGGGTCCGTCCTTCGTCCGTGTCGTCCGTGTCTGGAGAACTTGAACTTTTTGCCGCCGGTTGCACGCTTTCTCAGCATAAACTAAACATATCATTCCCCACACGACGCGCGCCCGCTGGGAGCCCGGCTCGTTCACTTTTCGCTGGCCGCGCCCTCCTTGGCTAGGGGGTTGGGTAGGGAGGGCAGCGGGATCTCTGGGAGGTCGTGGGGAAAGGGTGGGGAGGGCAGCTTAAGCGTCGCCTTCCCCCCCTTCGCGCCCCCCTCCTTGGCGCCGCCGAGGTTGACGACGTTGGCAAAGGAGGACATCTCGGTCATCGACTTGAGCGCGCCGCCCCACATGCGCCCGACGCCCTCCCACGTGCGCGTGCACTTGCCGGCGGCGGCCTCGGCGCGCTCGGCGGGGTCGGAGCACGGGTACAGCTTCGGGAAGAGCGCGTGCCTCAGCGGGTCGCCGTCCTCCATCCCGTGCGACCCCATGTCGGCGAAGAGGAGCCGGCCGCCCGCCAGGTACTGGCAGTCGTCGACAGCGCACGTGCCGCCGAGCACGCGCCGCCTGCTCGACTCCCAGTCCTGCGACTTTGGCCCGTCAATCTTGTGGATCGCGCGCGAGTGCCACACGATCAGGTCGCCCGCCTTTGGCCGGAACTCGAGCAGCTCCGGGTACATGAGCAGGTTGTCCTTCTCCAGGTCGACAAAGACGGCGTCGGTCGTGACGTCCGTGTTGAGGTGGCTCTTCCTCAGGTAGACGGGGGCGCCGTGGTCGGGCGGGCAGTCGTCCAGCGTGACCCACCAGCGCAGCGCGTTCCACTCGTTCGCCCCCGGCTCGCCGAACGCGTCGATCGGCCCGTTCTGGTTGTCCTGGTGCCACTTGAAGCCCTTGTTCGGGTTGACCATCAGGAGGTCGGTCGCGAGGCGCAGCTCCTTGGCGTCGATGCTGCCGGCGAGCGCGGACGCGATGGGGCTGTAGTACAGCAGCTCCGCGAACGCGCTGTTCGACGCCCACACCGACCGCTGGATGTAGTCGTAGAGCCCCGACGCGACGCCCGCGATGGACCAGAAGTGCGGGTTTTCGACCTGCCAGTCGGTCGCGGCCCTGGCGTACTCGATCCACTCGTCGTTGAGCACGCCGGGGATGACGATGGCGCCGTCCTCGTACAGGGCCCGCCGCTGCTCATCGGTCACCTCAAAGGGCTGCGGAGGGTCGCCCTCGCGCACCGAGGCGGGCAGCTTGACGGGCGCACGCTGCAGGCCGTAGTCGAGCTCCCACGGCGCGATCGAGACCTCCCACTTCATACGCGGCGCGGGCGCCCGGCGGGATTGCCTCGAGCTGCTCCCCACCGACAAGGCGAGGGGCTTCGACGCGGCGAACAGGATCGCGATGGACATCTTGGAATGAAATAGGGAAAAAAGAATTTTTGACCGCTGGGCGCAGGCGCCTGCGACGTCGCGGCGGATCCCCCGACGCCTTGGACGGTCGGAGCCGCCAAGCTGACCCCAGAGGGTGGGGCGGCGGGGCCGTCGGGGGGTGGTTGGGGGCTGATGGCGGGGGGAGTCCGGAGGGAGGGACGCCGGCCCGCCCCACGTGTAGAGACGAGGCCTGACCCCCCCCGATGTGGAGGGGGAGGGATCCACATGCCAAGGCGGAGGCCGACGGCCGGAGGTGAGGGACGGGACCGCCGGACCAGCCGCCGCTGGGGGGATGCAGGCGGAAAGGTGTGGCGGCGGGACGGCGCCAAAGAGGCAGCGATCTCTGACAGCTGACGAGCGGGGGACGACACCGGCATACCCGTGTGCACGGGCCAACTCGGCCTCGGAGGCGTACTGCCAGTCGTGTGAGATGAGGTTGGTCTGAGGGAGGGTGTAGAGGATGTAGAGTGTAGAGCGCTGTAGAGCCGTAGAGATGTAGAGCGCTAGAGAGCGCTGTCGAGAGCTGTAGAGCTCTACATCCGGCGCGGGACAGAGCGATGCAGATGTAGAGCGATGTAGAGGCGCTCTACAACGTGAAATCTCTACAACAAACTCTCTACATCATAAGCGGCGAACGAGGCACGGTCGCTCTCCGACATTAGGCGCGTTGCACTTGCCAAGAAGCGCACCCAGCGGGCCGGATGATTGGCATCGGGTTGCGGGCAAGAAAGCCCTAGCCCTGGGGGTGCGCGGTCGCAGGGAAAGGGCCTTAAAGTAAACACGGGTCCCCGAGGGTTAGCTCTCGAAGCACTTGGAGCACTTGGAGAAGAGAATTTTACTCTCGAGCACTCGAGTATTCCTTTTCTCGGGCGCTGGGGGCACACTTCGCCCGGCCGCAAGCGGCAAGCGACCCAGCACTACGCCTGACAGGCACCGGCCGCCGCTTCGCAAGCCCTGGTGGAACCTTTTCAGACACGAACGGCTGTCCCACAGCCGCATACATGTACTACGTCCTCTTCGCCCTCGCCCTCGCCGTCGCCCGCCCTGCGCTGCGCCTCGGCGGCGAGTGGGCCGGCTGGCGCTGCGTTTTCGACCCCTTCTCCGGCGCCCTCACGAATCACGTCGAGGGCGTGACGACTGAGCGGTGGGCCGGCAACGCCCTCCAGCGCCGCTCCCTCAGGCTGCTCCCCGAGGCGACGGCCGGCGACGGCGATGGCGCGCGCATCCGGTGCCTCGCCGCGCCCGAGGAGGACTGGTCGACGCTGCCGGCGGCCAACAGCGGCACGAGCACGCTGGCGCCGGGCGCGCGCGCCGCGGCCCTCGCTGCGGGTGGCCTGATGTGGACTGTGCAGGTCGACATGCTCAACGCAAACGCGTGGGCGCTCGACGAGGTGGGCGCCGACCCGAACGCCGCCGGTGTGCCCAGCTGGCGGTGCGAGAGTGTCTTTGACGGCGTCGGCGGCGAGCGGCCGCGCGGGCCGAGGCGCGATCGAGCGGAGCGGCCCAAGGAGCGCACGCGGGTCGTCTGCAGCTTCAACCCGAGCACGGGCGAGGTCGCGAGGGGCGAGCCGGTCGAGGTGTGGCAGGAGCGCTGCTGGTCCGTGCAGCCCTTGGGCGAGATGCCCGAGCTCCGGCGAGACAGCGGCGGGCGCGCCGGGCTGGACGCGGCGTGGGTCTCGTCGGTCGTGGGCACCGCGTGCTTTGGGTCACAGAAGCGGATCCCGTACGCGTCGGGGGTGGAGGCTGCCTTGAGCAGGACCCGCCTCTCTCTCCCGGGCGGCGTCGAGGTGCGCGGCAGGCCAGGGCTGCTCGAGGTTTGCGTCACCGCCGCGCCGGGGCGGGTCAACTGGCGCAAGCTGATCCTGCGCCGCAGCTGGATCGGCGGCTCCTGCTACGCCTCGGTGGAGACGGTCGGCGACCGGCAGGCCGAGCCGCCAGTCGACGAGGAGGACTCCCAGGGCCCGCACGGCTACGGGCTTGACGGGCGGGTGAGGTGTCGCGCCGAACGGCCCAGACGAGAAGGCGTTTTTTCCCTTAATTTTTTGTGATGAACCTTTATAAAAGGTCGAGGTGAACCCCTCTATGCTGTAGTCTTGCTCTTGGGCTGATCGCCCGCGTCTGCCCGCTGCTGCCTCTGCGGTACGTTTATTATATAAAGGGTGTGGATGCTGAGTTGACGGAAATCGGGGGACGCGACCCACCTCGCCACAGACGGTCCCGCGCCTCGCCGCTATGACGGGCGCACGACCGCAGCTCGTGTGCGTGTACCCGTCTTTATCCGGAGTGAATACTCCAACGCGCTCGTCGGTGGCAGCTTCCCCCGACTGCGCCGCGCTCGGCGCGAACCTCGACAGCGCCTTCGGTGGCATGCAGCTCTTTGCGACAGAAGCCTGGAGAGCAGCTCCTCTGCTGCTCACACGCTCTGCACAGTTGGCACAGCCTACTGTGCGGCTGCCACAGCTGTCACAGCGATGGGCTCGCCCTCACTGGCCCTCAGTCACTTGTGCTGCGGCTTGTGTGAGCGACTCTGCTCGGCGACTGCCGGCACACTGTGACACCATGGGTGTGAGGCTAAACCACGGTACCAGCGCTTGGTCACATCGGCCCTGAGGTCAGATCCATCTACTCTGTTGATGACAAGACTTGTCTACTGGCTGGAGCCGAGCAGGAGGGCCCGGCGTACAACCCCCTGGTCAACTCACCCTCCACACCCCGTACTCGTACTGGCTACTACGTCTATCGTTCTCGGCTCCGGTCCGCGCTACCGCGGTGAGAGAGGAGACTCGCTCGACCTCGTTGCCGCCGATGTGCGCGCAGTGCGGCCCCGCGCGCGATTCGCGCGCGATGTGGCCCGCGATGCCGCTCTTGCCGCCGGGCCGCGGGCCCCCCGCAGGTGTGTGTACGTGCACACGTTTCGGGGAAGAGGGGGGGGGGGGGGGGGCCCCCCCCCCCCGGGTGATACCTCTGGGGGGAGGCGGGGGCCCCCGGAGGCACCGTGCGCCGCGCAGCAGGGCGGAAACGGGGCTTCCGGCTCCGCTAGTCTCCGTTAGCACCGACTTCCCGATCTAACCCGTCTAACAGAGGGCAGATTTGGAGAGATCTCGAGGAGTACATACAGATAGACCCTCCAACCATCAGAAAACTCCGACCTGATCGGTCGTACTGACCGCCGACAGATCACTCCAGACAGCAGACAGGCCGACGTCTGCACACGGCCGGCCGGGCGAGAGGCTTGACACGATCCGACCCTGCGACCCTGACGCTGCTGCTCTAGCTATCAGACATGCGCTGCTGACTGCTGCCACAATGTGCGACCGGTGCTGACCCACTTGGCGGCCTTCCCGGTCAGTGGTGAGGCGCAGTTCAGAGCTGTCGATGGCGCGATGCCGCACACTGGTCCCACATCGGTGACACGAGACCACCACGTTTGCCGGTCCAAGAGAGAGGCACCGGCGCTGTCCTGAGAAGGTGCGTGGTCCCTATTGACTGCCCATGCGCGCGAGGCTGTGTAGGCATAGCCTCGAGAGTGCCAGCAGCCAATCCGAGGCAGTTTGTGACGCGCATTGCGTCAGAAGCGTGCACGCGCTGGAAGGACACCTTCCTACTGGCCGTACGATCAGGTCGTCACTGAATGCTGGATACTAAGGCCGCGAGCTATGCAGGCGGTCAGTTGAGCAGCATGGCACGGTCAGCAGCGCCGAAAGGATGTCGCAAGGCGTGATAGCATGGCCGCAAGTACGCCGAATTCCCATGAAAACAAGTAAAAAATTGCGCGAAAAAAAAATCAAAAAAACCGGCGCCTGCGCCGGGCTGGGAGACCCCATCTCCCCCCCGCATGGGTACCCCCTAGGGCCCTCGCCTCCCCCCAGAGGGTGATACGTGTTCGTCCGTGTCCCTATACTGACCAGATCCTCTATACGTACCTTTTGTTGTGCGCCTCTACACCTGTCGGAGCTGTGTAGACTACACCTGTCGGAGCTGTGTAGAGTGTACGCAGTCGTCCGTCATGCGCTCAAGCATCATCGATCATGCGCCTACGGCCTAGCAGCGGCCTCGCCGCCCGCGTCCCCCAAGCCCAACGCGGTCGGCGGAACACAGTCAATTCTTTTCTTCCAAGGAAGCGGCGGCGTGGAGTTCTTTTCTCTGCGTCCGTTGTTTTGGCGGCTCGAGGTATCGGAGCAGCCTTGGGAGCGCCTGCGGCGCGGGCGACGGGCGGGAGGGTGTCGCACACACCAGCGTGTGTTTGTGACATTTCAGTCGTTGCAAAGCCAAAGCAGAGGCGGCGGGTGGTCGGGCGGGGCCCCTCACCTCCCACGCCTCGCCTCCTTGGCAGGCCACCTACACGCAATCGCCACACGCGGCGACACGGGTGAGAGTCGCAGAGACCTTGAGCCGCCACGAGGCGCCAACAAGCAACATGCGCGCGCGAGGCGCCTCGTACGGGCGGCGGCCCGACGCGTCGGTGGCGGCTGTGTCGGCCCCTGCCTGGACGAGCAGAGAGACCACCTGCCGCGCCGACGTGAGAGGGTCCGTGTCAGCCCCGGCTGAGGTCTGGGATCGAGGCGGTCTCCTAGGACCGTACCCCCTCGTGGCCCCAATAGGCAGCCCGGTGCAGTGCCGTTTCCCCCGATGGGCCGGTCGCGTTGAGCTGCTCCGGCGAGAGCGCGCCTGAGGGCAGGCTCGGGGCGGAAACATCGCACAATCTGAGGGATGGGGCAGGGGTGGGACCGTAGCGCTGGAGCGGTTCGCAGGCCCGGCAGAGATGCTGATGAACGCACCGAGCAGAGTCGAGCAAACGTCTGCATGGCCTGAGCGCGCCGCGGCGTGCAGGGGCGCCCAACCTAGTGGCTTTCAGACAAGCTTTGTTGACAAAATTTTCGGGAACGCGCTGCGAGCACACGGCCCACGCCGTGCGCGTCGCTTGCCATCGCGCTCGCGCCGCGGTGCAGCAGCAGAGACGCCATGGTCGCCTGATGGGGTGCATGGCACGGCGAGGAGCTCACGTAACCGCTCGTGGCGGCCTCAGAGGGGCTACCCCCAGCCGCCTTGCCCTTCAGTGCAGCAAAGTGTAGCGCAGTCATCCCCGACTTGGCGGCCGTGGCGTTGACCTCGGCGCCGGCCTCGTCAATCAGCCACTGCGCCGCCGAAGCGTGCCCCTCGAGAGCGAGAACATGCAGCAGCATCAGCCCTGCCTCGTCCACCTGCGGCGCAGGGGAGAGGTCAGCCACGCGTCGGTGTGGCTCCTGGCACCGACTGCGAGAGCCCACCATGGCAGAGCCAGAGGGCAAGCCGTGCGGCGGCTCCCCGTCGTCTCCCATGAGAATCTCGAGAAGGACCGCTTGGTCGCCCTCTCGCGCCGCCTCCCAAAGGCGCAGCAATAGCTCCGGGTCCGCATCGCGGGTGTCGGCGACGGGCATATGTGTGGTCCCGGCTGTCGCGGCGCGCGGGAGACTCTCTCGAACTCGATCACACGTAACGGCCAAAGAAGAATTTAAACAACAGCCAAAGAAGAATTACTGCCGCCCTGAGTGGCGATGTCGGGTGAGAGTGTACGTCATGCTCGTGTCTGGTGTTTACTAGCTCCGAGTAGAGGGGGCGTTCCGCTGCTAGGGGACCCAAAGCGCAGAACCAACCCTCGGAGACCTGTGTTTACTTTACGGCCCTTTCTCTGCGAACGCGCACCCCCCAGGGCTAGGGCTCTCTAGTAGAGGGTGCGCAGCGTCCTAATCTAAAATCTGAGGATTCAGGATTCAGGCATCGCTTCAGTGGGGCCAAAGTGAGTTTATGGATGTGTGAGAACGGTACGGGACACGAGGAGTCACGCGGACCGACTCGTCGGTGACTCTGCTGTGCACGCCGTTTCAGATTTTTTCTCAGCGTGAGCGAGACGTGGAAGAGTGCCACCGTCGGGTAGGACGGGTCGGCCCGGAGCATCAGAGTAGCCGTCGTGGTCGCGGCGAGCAGCGCCGGCCACTCCGGCGCCGCGTCGGGGGCAACATGGGAGCATGTCCACCGCCACTTCGCGGTCGCAGCGCTGTTTGAATGTCGCCAAAAACGCCTAATGTACCTCTGGCGGGCCAAAGATCGACTCGCATGTCGATTTCGACTTGACGGGCGCATGCAGGCATCACGTCTCCATGCGCCCGTCAAGTCGGAGCCAGTCTGCGGCAGCTCCCCGGCCCTGGATGTGAGCACACACTGTGAGGTTACTGGACTGCAACTCCAAGTGCTCCAAGTGCAAAACCCGAATTAGGCTCGGGTCCAAGTACAGATACGTCAAGCAAGTTGTTCGACACAATCGCACAAACGGACAATTACACATCGATCGCGCAGATCAATACAAGCGGTTCAAACAAGTAGCTGCTTCCTGTGTGACACGAGTGGACGAATCGAGTCTCGAGTGAGGAGTGTGCAAGTAGATTGAGTGTTGCGACGTCGAGAGACAAACGCGCATCAACACGCGTCTGTCCGCACCGCACATGCGAAATGAAGAAGAGCTGTGGGTCGAAGCTGTCGAGACCGGCTCAACCGCGCCATCTCGAGCAAGTGCCAACGGAGAGCTTCACCTGCGGATGGCCGGCCCGGCACAACGGTGGGAGGGTGCGCGCCGCGGGGCGCGCTCCAGGGCCAGGGTCTCGCCTCGTGCGGCGCGGTCGCGTAGTTGATGTGGCCGCCCCACTTGGTCTGCACCCTGTGGCGCGTCAGCGACGTCGCCTTGCGCGCGGTGACGCTCGCCTGGAAGTACTCCTTCCAGCCGGGTCCTGCATGGGGCGGGCTGCCCCTCAGGTGCCGCCGGCCTGAACCCCCCCCCCCCTCCCCCCCCTCCCCTCTCCCCCCGCGCGCGCCTTCCCACACCGGCGCCTTTGCCGAGCACGTCGCGCACGTCTCATTCAGCCACCCCAGCCCAGTCGCCTCGACGCAGCCCGACGCCCACAGCCCACCCTCGGGCGCCTCTGGCGCGGGCGACCAGGCGGGCAGCGGCGCGCGGCGGTACCACGCGTACTTTGAGGTTGCCAGGTGCAGCAGCATCACTTCCTTGCCGTTGACATACAGGGTGCCCGAGCGAGCGAGCCGCAGCTCCACGGCGCCGCAAGGGCAGAACATGCACGACTCGTCGCGGCACGTGCGCGCCTCCGCGAAGGGCATCTTGCGCTTCGACATGCGCACCGTCCCGTTCGCCTCGGCCAGCCGCGTCAGCACGTCGCCCATCGTCTCCCAGCCTCGGCTGTAGTGGAACGGGCCCCAAAACTCGTCAAAGTGGGCATAGTCGTTCGACGCGAGGATCGCGCGCCACTGCGGGCTCTCGCGGAACATGCTCGTCCCCAGTTCGGTGCGGAAGGCGGTGAAGGGGCCCCAAGCCTTTTTGCGCCACGGGTTGGGGTAGAGAGGCGTCACCACGTTCGCAGTCACGCCTATAGAGCAGTGCCGCGGCGGCGCTCAGGGCGTGCAAGCGGTGCGGCCCGGCGTGTGCCGCCTCGTGTCTCGCCGGGCTCGCACGGGCACGCGAACTTGTGGGTGAACACATTCACCTGCGACGCCCAAGGCGCGTGGGCGGTAGGGCAGCTGCGGTCCGGCGGCGGTGGCAGTTGGGACGGGCAGCCGACCCAACCTTGCTCAGCGACTCTGGCAGGCCGTTTGGCCGCAGCGGGACCTTGCAGCAGGCGGGCTTGGTCGCGGCGGCGTGCAGAAACGTAAGCAGGTCCCCAAAGACCACGTCGAGGTCGGCCCACGCCCACCACTCGCGCCCGGCGAGGTGGCGAGGGAAGAGCGCAGGAGCAAACGGCTTGATGTCGTTGGCCTTGTAGGTCCAGTTGTAACGCACCGATGCCTGGCCCGCGCCCGGCTCGGAGATTAGCACCGCGAGCCGCTCCTGCAGCGCGGCGTATGCGACCGTCTCAAACGCGACGTTCGGCGGCCGTACTGGCGGCGGCGGCTCGTCGCCGATGACTACAAATCCGACGCCGGTGTTGAGCGCCATGGACTGGAGCGTGAGCGGCATCCATGGAGGCCACGCGCCGAAGAAGACGATGTACACGACGAGGATGGAGCCGGCGGCCTCCATGTCGACAGAAATGGGCGCTGGCGGCGGCTGGCGCGGTGTGTGTGGCGAAGAGCGGAAGCCAGGCCAGCAACCGGGAACAGCGAGCGGCGAAAAAAGAAATTTGACTGTCGCTGTCCCTTTTGTCAGTAGCAGGACAACTAGGAGAGCGCAACCAGTAGGAGGCCCGCGCCTGCCCCCGTGGCGCGGGTGCAACTTTTTGTCCTATACGAGAGGGGGAGGGTCCCTGGGACCCTGTCGTGTGGGTGAACCCTGCCCAGCCCCCCTCCGTGTCGCGATGCGCTCCCCACTCCCGTTACCCTGTGTCCCTGATCGTCCTTCCAAGATCCTGCTCGCGCAGGTGGGGACCCTGTCAGCTTCTCCCACCGCCACCCCTTTGAGCTTTGTTTGGTGTGTGTCCTTGGAGCACTTGGAGTGCAGTTAGTATATTCTATATAGTAACCTCACATCCAGGGCCGGGGAGCTAAGAAGCGCACCCAGCGCGCAGCGGGCCGGATGATCGGCATCGGGCTCGACGGGCTAGAGCCTCGTAGAGTGTAGGAGAGCCCTGACCCCTAGGGGGGTGCCGTCGTCCGCAGGGTCCGGGTGCAGGGAAAGGCAAAGGGCCAGGGGCAGGGCCGTAATGCGCGTAAAAATCGTAAAAACACGTCCCTTTTTTATAGTTGCGCAAGTCACTGTACACTGACTCTAACACAGGTACGAAAAAGAAATTGGGCCGTCCTCTCAAACTGCCCTATTCCCGCACGTTCTTTCTTTCTTCTGCCCTCTTGGCCAGCGTCAGCACCGACGATGGCACGTTCCGGAGGAGCGTCCTCGCGGTGTCGGCGCGCGTCGCCGCCGGAAGCCGCGCCACGCGGGTCGCCATCTCGTCGTCGCGGCGAAACACCTCCTCGTAGCCCAGGCCTCCGTAGAGCCGCCGGGCGGCCCCGTTCGCCTCCTCAACCTTGAGCGCCAGCCCAGGCAGCCCCCAGTCGGAGCAGAGCCGCTCGCCGTGCCCGCAGAGATGCCGCGCCACCCCGCGCCTCCGCCAGGCCGGCGAGACGGCGAGATCCGTCAACAGCGCGGCGGCGGTGCACGCCGGCAGCAGCTCCGAGACGAGCGGCCGGAGGCCGCGCTGCCGCGCCACATAGAGCTCGCTCAGCCGCTCCCAGCGCGCCTGCTCGCTCGGGTGCAGCGTCAGCGCGGCGAGCTCTGTCTGAAGCCGCGCCTCGGCGCTGCGGGCGGGGAGGACGCGGCGCGCAATCGGGTCCAGCAGCGCCGCCTCGATGCCGACGCAGCCGATGACCTCGCCGGCGTCGCCGCGGGCGAGGAGTAGGCGCGAAGGGAGGAGGCCCTCGCCCTGCCGTAGCTGCGAGCCCACCCGCCAACTGCAGCCATACCTCGTCCGGAAATCGTCGGCCATCTGCGCCTCGAGTAGGCGGCGCTCTTTCCGGCTCAGTCGCAGTGCGCCGCCCGAGCAGGCGCCGCCGTTGGTGCTGACCCAGAAGGCCTCCACAAAGAAAACGGCGGCCTCCTCCACGCTGCTCTCGCTCACGGCCTCGACGGCAATGGCTGGCGCAGCCAGAGAAGCGCCGGCACTTGCCGCCCGAGGCCCGCTCGGCACGCGAGTGGACCGCGGGAGCAGCGCAAGGCTGGCCAGCGTGGCGGCCATGCACATGGCCGAGAAGCGGAGACGCGGAGGCGGCTGCCGAGAGAGGTGGGAAGTGGAGAGCGGCGGCGCGGCAACTTTTTTTATGTGGCTCTTACGACTTTCCGAGGAGGACTCTGCTGACTGCGTTTGCGAAGAGGAATTTTACATAGTTTAACCTTTTTCGGTGTGGTACATAGTATATATATTCAACTTTTTTCGGTGTGGTACTTGTCCCTCGGGTATGGACATGGCCGTCTGTCAACCCCCCCCTCTCGGCTGTCAGCAGGTGGGGGGGTATGAGTGATTCTTTGAGATTTTTTTTGTCCCCACGGTCCCAAAGAAGGCGGTGTGCGGAAGCACCTTGGGAGCAATGCCCCGCCCTTTGTGCTCCAGGCCCGCCCCGAAGTACGTCGATAAGAAGCGGCAGGAAAACGGGTACAAGACCGAGCCGGCCACCAGCTCGCGCAGGTTCGGCGTGCCACATGCCAAGCGCGGCTACGAGCCGAATTTTGCCAAGCGCGCGGTGACCGTCACGACTTCGGCCAAGAAGCAGACCACGGTGGACAAGGCGATCGATGGCGTGGACACCTTCCTGCAGAACGCGACGGGTCAGTTTGGCGGCCTCACCTCGAACTCGCCCATCGCCATGTTCACCACCCAGGAGTACGTCAACAAGCTGCGCATCTTTTCGCAGAGCTCGAGCTCGTACATCCCAGAGTGGGTGCCGGACAAGGACGACGTCGCCGGCTCGCTGAAGCAGCTGGGCTTCCAGCCGGGCTTCTCCGTCATGTGCATCAACTCGATGGTCGGCTCGTGCCTCGTCGCCGAGAAGACCACCGTGCCGGCGTGGAAGGGCAAGCGGGTCGTCCTGTCGATTGCAGGTGCCAGCGCGCCCGGCGGGAGAGTGCGAATGGGCTGCCCCGCGTCGCGACGCCGGGGAGGGCCCCGCCTGCGGGGCGACAGTGCTGCCGGCTCACCGCCGCCCTGCCGCGCCCCCCAGACCTCATCGGCGTCGTGCTCAAGAACGGCGCGGGCATGGTGTCGGGCAACGAGTGGAAGAGCAAGATGGTGGGGCTGCTCGACGAGGACGGCGACGGGGTCGAGTACGAGGAGCTCAAGGCCTTCGTCGAGCAGGACGACGAGCTCAAGGACGACGCCGAGGTGCCCCCCCCCCCCCCCCCCTGCCCGCCCGCGCCGCCAGATCGGCCACTACTTCCTGCACTGGATCACGCACACGATGGGCGAGGCCAAGGGCAAGGAGTGGCTCGACACGCACGTCCACTCCTTCGTCCCTCTCGCCGGGCCAATGGCCGGCGCCGAGTCGGGCACCGAGCAGTTCCTGCAGCCCGGCAACTGCTCCGGCCTCGCCCCCGCCGTCGTCTCCTTCACCGACGGCTTCGCGATGGTCCGCTCGTGGGGCTCCATGCCGCTCCTCTTTGGCAACGGCTCCAACCTGAAGAGCACCGCCGCCTCGCACTACTTTTTCGCCAGGATGGAGGGGGCGGTGCACATCGAGATGCTCACGGCCGAGTACGCGGGCCTGGGCGACGACGAGATGACCAAGGTGCACATCGAGGTCAAGGGCGTCGACACCGGCTCCCCCCTCGCCAAGTTCCTCGGCTCGGGCCTCACGGGCACGTCCGTCAAGGGCAGCTCGCCTGTGTACAACGACATCTACCAGTTTGCGTGGGAGGAGGAGCCCGACAGCGTCGAGGGGCGCGACATCACGCTCAAGCTGGTGGACGACAACCTCGTCTGGGACACGCCGCTGGGAGAGGTGACCCTGCGCACCCCCCCACCCGAGCGGCTCCCCCCACCGCGGCGCCGGAGCGTCCCCCCCCCCTCTCACCCCGCCCGCGCCCGCGTCTCCGCAGGCCACCTTCAAGCTGTCGACCACCTCCGGCGAGGACCCCGCCTCGGTGACCAAATTCACGCCGGACACGGTCATCAAGGTGTCGCCGAACGAGTGGGTGTCGCTCAAGAATGTCACCGTCAACGAAAAGGCGACCGTCACGCTCAGGGTGCGCTTTGTGCCGGCCTCCTGCGAGCTGTCGCCCGAGTTCCAGTGCAAGGGGGAGGTGCCCGGGTGCGGCGGCGAAGCCGACGCCGTCGCCACGTGCGCGGAGAAGAGCGCGGCGCTCGAGGCGGCCGGCCTCACCACTTGGGCGCCCGCGGGCGACAACTACCTCCCAAAGACCACCGAGGAGATGTTCATGCTCGAGGACATCGGGCCCGACTTCAAGATGTGGCAGCAGTGCTACGCGGAGGACCCGATCTTCCGCAAGATTGCCGACAACGCCGCGCCCGCCATCAAGCTGTGCCAGCCCATCTACGGCATCAACATGAAGACGCAGATGGGCGCCATCTTCAAGCGCACCAACAACTGCTGGAACCAGGGCCGCCGCACGAACTTCTTCGTCTACGACAAGGAGGCGACCGTCGCGCACTCGGGCTACACGTGCAAGGACGGCCAGGTCTTCGAGAAGCCGCACGCGTGCCCCCAGTCCACGCAGTACGACGGCCGCGACTTCACGACGCTGAAGTGCTCGGGCGACATGACCGTGCCGCTCTGGTCGCTCCGCGCGCCCGCGCAGTGGTGCCAGGACGACATGAACGTCAACATCATTGAGATCGAGGGGGGCACGCACCGCGGCGTGCTCGGCATGCCGGCGTGCCACTACGCCGTCCTCTCGCACATCTTCGACACGCCCACGCTGACGCTGCGCGTCAAGTCGGTCAGCGTGTCTGCGGGCGCGCTCGGCGACAACGGCGAGGCAGCCAGCGCTGTCTTTGTGCAGTTCATCCTCGGCGACAAGAGGAAGAGCACCGCGGCGATCGCCATCGCCAAGGCCAACGGCGAGGACGACCCCTTCGGCGCCGAGGCCAAGGCGGGCACCGTGGACTACGACCCCGAGGTCGGGTACGCCTGCGAGATGGCGCTGATGCAGGCGAGCGGCGTGGGCGGGCTCGGCAAGGGCACGCCCTTCCCCGGCGCGGAGACGGCCAAGGTGCCCCTCGCGGAGCTGCTGAGCGCGGGCGTCAAGCAAGAGCCGGTCGAGGTCTCCTTTGGCGAGGGGCTGTCGCTCAAGCTCGAGGTGGCGGGCTTCAAGGAGAAGAAGGGGTGGTGCCAGTGCTGGTAAAGTTGCGCGGCAACCCACCACTTCTCTGTGGATACCCCGTTATTCCCTCCTTGCTCCCGCGGCGCGGCGGCGACAGCGCGTCCGCCGCTAGGCCTGCAGGTTGAGGGCTGTGTACAGCGCGAGTGGACTGATAGATCGTCCAGAGAGCAAGAGTGGAGAGCGAGACGGGTGATCACGCACCCTGACAGCGCGCCGGGGCCGAGTACACCACTACTAGATACCTCGAGATACCAATCGTGTGGGTCCGTTTGATTGTGGGTATGAGCATGTAATCCGAGGGGGCTACGATCCCGGAGTTTTAAGTCGGTGGTTTTGAAACCCCGGGCAGTTTGCCCCCCGGGTCGCGCTCTCCGGGCTCGTTGTGCGAGTATATGGGGCCGAGCGTTTTTGATCTCTCGGTAAGTGGGCGCCCGCCCGCCGCCTCTGAGGGGGTCGGGCCCCCTAGACTGAAAACAAAAACAAAGTGTAGAAACCGTCAAAAACAGCCTGCAAGAGCGGCGCTGCGCGCCGCCTAGAGGACGACGACATCGAGGATGTCATGTTGCGCGATGGCGTCATCCATTTCGTCAAGCCACCTTCATCGTGACCGTCGCCACCCTCGCCACCGTCTCGCCTACGTCGCCGCCGTCGCCATCGTCGGCCTCGCTGCCGAGACGGTGCTGCTGCACCTGACTCAACTCTCCCACCCCCCTGGCTCCTATGCCGACGTGTCCCGTGCTCCCCGTCCGCCGATGTCTCTGCTGCCGCCCGGCGGAGCTCTGCAGCGCGGGCTCTCCTCGCCGCCTTCGCTGCCGCTGCATCGCTGTCGGCTCGTCATGTCTGTCTAGGGTCATTGGGGGCGTGCCATCGCTCGTCTCTCTCTCTCCCGGGGTCAGCTCCAAGCTGCCGTGTCGGGACGTCGCCCCCTCGGCTCCCCCCCCCCCCTCCGCTGAACCTTAGGGGACCCCTAGGCTTAAAAGGGTGGGCCCTGGGGCGCCTGCGGCTTAAACGGCTTAAAACTTGCCATGGCAAGTTTTAAGAGCTGCTGGGCTGCCAATTCCTTAAACGGTCTTAAACGCTTAAACGGTGCGGGAGAGCTCCCGAGGTCGTTGGTCCGGGAGGCTCCCAGTAGACACGCCGGAGGCCGGGAAGCTGGCTACAGTCAGCTAGCACGTCCCCTATGCGAGTATGGCTCCTGCCAGTGCACCAGACTTACAGATGTGTCTTCAGAGCCGAATAACGGCAGTATTGAAGAAAACGGCGCGGAACCCAGCGACGCGTGCCGGCGAGGCCGATTTTCTTAAACGGTCTCTTAAAAGAGGGACCCCCCGTGCCTGCAATCTCTTAAATGGCAAGTTAAGCCCCCAAACCTCCTCATTTCTTAAAAGGTCTTAAAACAATCCGGCCCTCAGGACCCTAGGGGTCCCCTAAGCGCTGAACGGTACTGCACATGCTGCGCGTTCTCGCCTTGTCCCAGGAGCCAGGTGCGTGTGTCTAATCGTAGTGGGGGCCCTGGCCCCCCTCTGTTTTCTGTTTTCTGTTTTTCAACACGCCCGCCCGCCCGCCACCCCGAGGCGGCTCGGCCCCCCACTTACCGAGAGATCAAAAACGCTCGGCCTGGGCCACGATGTCTCAAATATGAGGGGTTTTGACTCCTATAGGCTCCTGACGCTATCCCTGGCAGCTCTAATGACCGGGATCAGTAGTGCTATGATAGAGGGTGCCCAGACTAGCGCAGGAGCTGCCACTCTCGCCCGGACCGTCCCCCTCTGGGGCCGGTTCCGCAGCCAGCGAGAGCCGACAGCGGGGCCGTGCCGCGGGTGCCTACTGCCGAGTGCCACAAACACTGCGCCGTCCCGCCACCACCTACAGGCTGTCTTGTGTGATGGTTGGGATGTCCAAACGCCACCATCTTGGCTCTTGCGACCTCAAACCCGCGAGCTGTATGGGTGGTCCTGACGTCGACAGACGCCCGATGACCACGGTGAAGCTGAGCCGGAACGCGTCGACAAGTCTCGTCTGAGCCCGTGGCGGTCGCCGGCTGAGTCGCTGTGCACGGACTGGTACCTCAGGCGTCACCTCCGCAGCCTCAGTTCTCAAACTCCACCACCTCCGCCAGGACGCCGTCGGTGGCACGTTCGGCGGCGTACTTTCTGCAGCTCCATCTCGAGTACGGCGTCGAGCCTACTCACTCCTGTTGGATCTGTGCACTCCCTGGGACCCAGGGAGTGCACAGATCCAGCAAGCGGTGCGTCCCGGCAGCGCGCGCAGGCTGCGGAGCTGCAACAAACTCGAGACACACTTTTTGGGACATTTTCGACGCTTTTGGCCCATATACTCGCACAACAAGCCCCCGCCCCGTCTCACCTCTCGGTCTCGCCCACCTCTGCGCTCGCTCTGGACCCGTCGACCTGCGCACGACGCACCTCTCGCACCTGCGTGGGGGCCCTGGCGGCCTGGGGCGCGCTGCCGCTGGCCCCGCTTGCGCCCGCTGGGGCCTCTCCGGGGCCCTGCGCCCGCGCGCCCGCCCTGGGCGCGCCCCCCCCGCGCTCACGCGATCTCTCTACCCCAGTCTTCTCTCTGTGTTCAATCTGCGACTACCCCCCGTGTCGGGGTAGCCCGTTTTCACACCTGCCCCGTGTAATATCTTTTCCCGCGTGACCCGTCCGTCCCTTCTTGTCTTTTGCATCGCCGTTACGGAGTATATGGAGTCAGGCTTAGACGCGGAGAGGTCGGGCTTCACTCGCCCCTACTCGGCGGCTCATCTACACCGCCACCGAGAGAAGCGCCGCCTAACACACCGCACGGGGCGCAAGGTCCAAGGAAGCTCGACCACACCGTCTGGCCTGCCGCACAATCTATGTGCAAAAGAGCGCACACGACGATCTCTCTGGGGGGGCGCGGGGGCCCTAGAGGGTACCCATGCGGGGGGAAGATGGGGCCCCACGGCCCGCCGCAGGCGCCGATTTTCGCATTTTTTTCTTTTTTCGCGCGATTTTTTACTTGTTTCCTGGGAATTCGGCGAATTGCGGCCATGCTATCACACCTTGCGACAGCCTGTCGGCGCTGCTGACCGTGCCCTGCTGCACAATTGATCACCTGCATAGCTCGCGGCCTTAGTATCAAGCATTCAGTGACGACCTGATCGTACGGTCAGTAGGAAGGTGTCCTTCCAACGTGTGCACGCTTCTGGCGCAATGCGCGTCGCCTCGGATTGGCTGCTGGCACTCTCGAGGCTATGCCTACGCAGCCTCGCGCGCATGGGCAGTCAAGAGGGACCACGCACCTTCTCAGGACAGCGCCGGTACCTCTCTCTTGGACCGGCAAACTTGGTGGTCTCGTGTCACCAATGTGGGACCAGTGCGGCATCGTGCCATCGACAGCTCTGAACTGCGCCTCACCACTGACCGGGAAGGCCGCCAAGTGGGCCAGCACCGGTCGCATATTGTGGCAGCAGTCAGTAGTGCATGTCTGATAGCTAGAGCAGCAGCGTCAGGGTCGCAGGGTCGGATCGTGTCAAGCCTCTCGCCCGGCCGGCCGCGTGCAGACGTCGGCCTATGTCTGCTGTCTGGAGTGATCTGTCGGCGGTCATCGACGCTCGCAGACCTCCGCGTAGAGCACCGCGCAGTCTCCTCGAGGACCAACGCAGTCCAATCCAGCAGTGCAGGATGATGTACAGCAGTGCAGCATGAGGCGCCCGCAGAAGCGCTCGCAGAGCGGCGCGCAGCGCCGCGCACGCCACGCCGCGGATGGTCGTGCGAGCGCAGTGCGCGTCGGCGGCGAGCCGCGGCGCCAGCCGTCGCTCGAGAGAGCGGCGCCGCTGCGAGCGCGCAGCAGCCGCCGCGGCAGAGACGAGCCGCGGCGACGGCCACACAACTGATAACTGCCATTGGCAGTTAAGATGATGTGGAGTGGTGTTAGGCAGAGGCGAAAGAAAACATACGGACATTTGTTCGGCGCGGGTCCGACACCATGATCCGTCGCCTGGGGCTGCCGGCGTTCCAACGGCGCGGCCTGTGCACGGTCGAGATCAACTCGGTCGCGCGCATCGTTCGGATGCACGTCGCAGGCGAGAGCCAGGCCGCAAAGGCCGACAAGGCGGTCCTCGCAATCAAGAGGGCGCTCGAGGAGGCTCAGGCGGCGAAGGAAATCCAGGGCTTCACGAAGGTCGTGCGCACGGTGTGCAAGACCGAGTGGGCCTACGAGGGTGCGATCGTCTTTGACTCGCTCGACAACTTCAAGGCGTACATGGAGTCCGACTTTCGCGAGAAGACGATGAAGCCGCTGCTCGCAGACGTGACAAAGTACTCGCTCGAGCCCGAGACGATCTACACCGGCAACCGAGTCTACGACGAGCCGTGACGCCACTGCGTGCGACTCCGGACGAGGGCAGGGGTTCGCCGCGCACGACCACGAGCTCTCTCTGCCCCTTCTCCTGGTCCCGCTCGCTGCAACGGCCGTAACGCCGCCGGCCGACGGGCAACGCAGCCACCCTCTGGACTTTGGTGCTCGCTGTCGCTCTCCGTACTCCGAGATTTCCGAAAAAAAACTGCTAGAGACACGCACCACAGCGCGGCTCCTATTACTGCGCTGCGGCTGGGTCGCCGGTGAGCTACGACGCGCGCGAGAGAGAACCACTGGCGACGACACCAGTCACAGAGTCACCACGACGACCTGCCCACGTGCCACGAACCGACGGCCGCAACACAATCAATCAGCCACCGGGAGATCCAAACGCGATGGAGACTTGAGAGGACGAGACGGAGCACTAAACGCAGACGCGAGGCGAGCGGACGGCCGGCCCTTCACTGCGGCGCGGGCGCGGCCGGGATGCCGACCGCCACCTGGGGCGCCGGCGCGACCGGGACGGCGATGGCGCGGGGCTGGCCGTCGCTGCCGGGCTGCGCGACGACGAGGACGTACTCCGGCTTGACGATCGGCAGCATCGCGTCGCGCATCGGCGGCCGGTGCTGGGCCCCGCGGTCGAGGTCGAGCGCGAGGCAGGTGTACGAGGCGTCGACCACGTCGAGCAGCGTCGAGGAGCAAAACGAGAGCACCAGCGCGCCGACCACGAAGGCCGCTCCGCCAAAGGCGCCGGCGACGGCCTGCCGGTCGTCCTCTTCGTCGGCGGCGAGGCCCGAGTAGACGGCGAGGTAGGTGCCGACCCCGCCGAGGGCGGCGAAGGCGACGGCGGTGGTGCGGAGGACGAAGGCCGAGATGCGGTCGCAGAACCAGGCGGAGAGGCCGTGCTTGGCGAGCAGTGCCGTCACCTGCTTGCCCGACGCACAGAAGCCGTCGCCGGTGATGGCGTGCATGGCGATCGCAAACTTGTTGATGAACTCGAGCAGCTCGACGACGCAGCGCAGGCAGCAGGCGACGAGCAGCACGAGCGGCGAGTCGCTGCGCCGCACCGCGTCCCTGGCGAGCGCCTTGAGGACCTGGCCGAGCGTGAGGACGAGCGACGAGAAGCAGAGCGTGCCGAGCGAGCGGGTGAAGGCGAGCCGCGCCGCGAGCCGCACGGGCGCGCGCCGCGCCTCGGTGTTGGCCGACGGGTCGACGGCGCCGGCCGAGGTGTCATAGTACCAGACCGAGGTGACGAGGGAGACGATGAAGAAGCGGAGCATGTCGGAGAGCAGGGTCGACCACAGCAGCGCCACGCCGACCACCGCCAAGCCCACCTCCGCCGCGTCCCGCACCACCCACTCGCACTCGCCCCGCTCGGCGCCCTCCCACGCGCCGTTCGAGTAGAGCGCCACGAGGCCGGCGAGGCCGGCCGCCAGGGCGGCGAGGGTGGTGAGGAGGAGGAGGCCGCACACCAGCAGGAGCGAGGGGTGCGTGACGAGCACGACCGCCGCGTTCTCCAGCAGCGCCGCGCACAGACGGAGCCCGCGGCGCGAGCACCAGAGGAGCAGCACGTACAGGGCCGCCACGCCAAACATGATGTAGCCGAGGGGGGGCGACTGGGAGAGCACCGCGGCGCCGGAGGACGCCATCGAGATGGGAATGAGCGCCATCGAAGAGTAGACAAAGGGCCGCGCACAGGAGCGCAGCGCGAGCACCATCCCTCCGCCGGCGGCAGCGACAATGGCCGTGAGCGGCAGTAGGTACCAGGCGTGGCGCAAGATGGTGGTCGGGACTGGGTCGGGCGCGGAGGCGAGAAGGCGGCGCGCGACGCCCGCGCCGGGCTTGGGGCCGCAGCCCTCTGGGGGCGAGGTGAGCGCCTCCAGGTCGCCGTTCGCCGCGCCGTGGAGCCCGCACGCGACGGCAGCGCCGACCGAGAGGAGGAAGACAAAGACAAAGGCGACGTCGGTGGATGCGCGCTTAGAGAGCTTGAGCGGCGAGACGCCGATCAGGCGCGAGTCGTCCATCCCCCTGAGCCGGCCGGTCAAGGCTTTGGAGTGGACGCGGCCGCAGCCTCTTCTGTGAAGGACTTGAGAGACCACTCAAAGCTGTATCCAAAGTATGTCCTATTTCAGGTGGCGTTTATTTTTGCTTGGGGCGGACATCATGACGGGGTAGGTAGGTAGGGTCTGGGCCCTCCCGTCGGGGTTTTCCCTCTCTTCACGCCGGAATTTTCACAGCAGAAAAAGAAATTTTCCGCGGAAATCACGACGTCAACCCTCCCCAAGTGGGTGATCTGGTGCTTGTAGGGCTTGATAGTGGCCTGCCATGTCACAGGAAGGACTGTGGGTGCAGGAGAGTACCACCAGCCATCACTTTAGTTGGTATAGTACCCCACCTTCACGCATCGAGTGATTTCTTTTTTAGTTTCCCATAAGTAAGGTAGGTAGGTAGGTAGGTAGGTAGGGGCACCGCAGGGGCCGGTCAGGTTTTTCCAGAATTTCATCATGATGTCCGCCCCAAGCAAAAATAAACGCCACCTGCCTATTTACTTGATATCCCGGCGCGTCCCGATAAACCGAAACGACGTGACCGTCCAACAATCGCCGCGCGCTCGGCCTCTGGAAGGCCGCATGCGGCAGCTTTGCGCACTGGCCAGACCGGTATGTGTCGGGGCAGCACTGCTGGCTTCGCGGTCGCCAGTCGTGCTCTCGCTGCCTGCCGGTGCTGATTCCCGCGCGGCGGCTCGAGCGCAAATCGGCCGCCAAAGTCCAACAATGTGCCCTGTAGGTGACCTTTCTGGTGGTGCACCGTCCGCTGGCGGCGGCCAGGGCCCGGCGCGGATGGATCGGTGCGCGCTATGAGGTAGAAGTCTATCTGCGGCACCGCCTGACGCCCTCACAGCCCCAGGCGTTCTGCGGCTCCATCAGACCTCCGAGCGGCGTAACAAAGGATACATGCACTCCAGCCTGGAGACATCGACGTCAAGCTGTGCATGGCGGTAGCTAGACCACTGATATTGACTGTGACGCCTGGATGCATGAGGATTGCCGCTGATTCGGAGCTGCTCGTCTCCGTAGCGGCCTTGTGTGATCCGTGACAGTCGTGCAGACAAAGCTAGAAGACGCTCCTTGACGGGTCTCTGTGGACGAAGGCCTGCAGCTTGGGGCTGCTCCAGGCAGCCCTGTCACACACAACATCCTCCTATCCCCTTGACCAGCGCATTTGGCGCATAGTTCACACTTTGTTCTTCTCCGATCGCACTCAACCCGACCCGGGCATGTATCAGTCCTCACCACCCTCAGACCGTGTAGGCGATGTGCGTGACTCTGTCCATCCTTCATATGGACCATCATGACCCAGGTGATGTGTGTACAAGTCAGTGTACGCACAGTTGGCATTACATCGTCAATATTATCGCGTCGGTCCGAGTACGAGCTTCTCCGCTCCCGCTCCCGCGGCTGCTGCTTCGGGACGGCGCCGCGGATCGACTTCAACGGACCTCTGAGTGGGAGGTTCGGCCCGGGCCCGCCCTCCTGCGGCCAGGCTGGGTGCACCCGGTACCTGTGGGCTGGGGACAGCCAAGTAGACCGGCGTCGGACCGCGATAGGCCCGATAGTGGGACCATTGTTGGAGCCCGGGATATCGGGATGTGAGCCGTCTCCGGGCGTGTTTTGCGTGGTCACGTAGCTATGTCTCCACGTGACCTGCGGCTTCTGTGAGTCAAACCACGCTTGTCAGGGATGGGCATGGCATGTGTTGCGAGGCTGGTGAGCTTTCTGGCCGTCAGATTCGGCTCTACCGTCCGGTGTGAAAGGATTGTTGGATCGGCTGGTTTATCAAGTAAAGAGGAGATACTGACAGAAATAGACTGCCAAAACTTACAAACAAGAGTCCTGGCCCGCGGCCCTGTGGCCCACATTGACTATTGATCTACGGCTGCGGGCGGACCCTTACAGATCACAGATCACGGCTGCAGGTGAAGGGCAAAACCGCGCCGCTGCAGAACGGTTTTTGCAAAACCGTGCCGCAGCGGAGAGAGAGAGATTTTAGAAGCAGCGGTACGAAACTGCGCAGATGCAGTCCCCGAGTGGTAAGGACACTATGTGTGTGTGAGGTGAACTTGACCCACAGCCCGCCGCGCGCCCGTGCCTCCGCCGCATTGCGCGCCGCCGTCTTGGCCTTGAGGATGGCGGGCGTGTCGGTGGGGTTGGAGTCGGGGAAGGTGTCCTCGACCTGGTCGGTGCCGACGCCAGCGACAAAGCCGCCGACGATGCCGTCCGGGTCGAACGTGCGGGTGACAGAGTCGGCCAGCGCCGCCCGCACCTCCTCGTGGTCGGCCGCGGTGGAGTCCGACTTCTTGGCGAAGGGGTCGTGCGGGAGGGTGCGGCTGGGGGACTTGGCGCACACCTTCTTGTACGAGGACTGGGCCATGCGCACCTTCGCCTCGTGGTCGATGCGGTCGGGGAGTTCCTCGAGCACCTTGGCGACAGGGAGATGTGACCCTGCTTCTTGGAGAAGTACGAGATGATCGCGGTGCCGATCTTGAAGGCGCAGCCGGAGGTGCTCTGGCGGGTGCACCAGTTCGCGTCGGAGCAGCCGAAGAGCTTGGGGTCGGCAACGCGCTCGTAGTGGAGGCCGAGGTCCTTGCAGATGAGGTCGCCGATGCACTTGCCACCGTGCAACCCATTGCAGTGGGGGCACGGCTTGCGCCCAGCGGCTGCGCGGCCGCCGCGGTCCCCGCCGCCCTTGTCGGACTTGATCTGCGCCTGGAGAGCGGCGACCTGGGACTCGGCGGCCGCGAGCTTCTCCTTGAGCACGCCTTGCGAGGCAATCTCCGCCTCGAACGCCGCCTGCGCAGCCGCCTTGGCCTCGTTGGCGCGGTCCGCGTTGTCTTGGTCGAGGATGCCCTGCATCGCGAGCGTGGACGCCTTGAGGCCGTACGTCTTGCCCGATTGCGCGGCGAGTTGGCGCTGTATGCCGATCTGCACGCGCATGTTTGCGCCGAGCGTGGCCCCCTTGGCGGCGATCGCGTCGAGGATGTATTCTTCGATCACCTCGTCGGGGAGGTGCCACTGGGAGTCCTTGAGCAACTTGTTCGCCTGCTCGATGCCCGTCTTGAACTTGGCGAGGCTCGCGGACGTGAGGTCCTTGAGAGCGTCGGGGGAGTACGCCTTCTCGAGATCCGCGCGCAGCGCCTTCGTGCGCACGTTCTTGGAGTTCGTGTCCTCCGACTCGATGAGCGACTTGATCGCCGCGATGCCCTTCTTGATGTCGTCGTAGTGGTCGGCGTCCTCGTCCGCCAACATCTCGGCGAGCGTGTCGTCGTCCTTGACGGCGTTCTGCAGCGCACCGTAGAGTTGGCGCGACAGAGTCACCGACAGGTCCTTGAAGAACTTGTCGATCATGGCCGGGATGAGGCCGTCCGCAGTGCCGATGTTCTTGTAGCGCACGTGCAGCGCGACCGCCTCGGCCTCGCGCTCCGCGCCCGGCCGGATGGTGCCCACCTCGATGATGTCGAGGAGGTACTTGTGTTGCTTCGCCGCGGTCCGCAGGTTGCGGAACCACTCGTTGAACTCCCGCTCGGAGCTCTGTTTGTAGGCCGGAATCACCAGCTTGTCCGTCGACGACATGTTGTCGTAATGTCCCGGGGATCGTTGCCCCGCCGCCACCAACTGTGAAGGTCTTCAGTGACCACTCACAAGCTGTTCCAAGGCCCGACAGAAATGTACTGTCAAAACTTTGTTCAAACAAAAGTCCTGGCCCGCGGCCCCCACACCCACAATGACTATCAATCCAGGCTGCGGGTGAAGGGCAAAACCGCGCCGCTGCAGAACGGTTTTTGCAAAACCGCGCCGCAGCGGTACGAAACTGCGCAGATGCAGTCCAGGGGTGGTAAGGACACTATGTGTGTGTGTGTGGCCGTAGACTAGACGGCTGCGCGGTCGTCGGTCTTCAACAGTAGTTGAAGCGTGGTGGGCAGAGGTCGAAGCGGACCACGATGTTCTGCGCCTTGCACTCCTTGACGCTGACGAGAGGCATGGCGAGTCCGGGCGCGTACAGTGCGTTCACCCACTCGGTGTTCACAACCTTGGTGTCCTGCGGCTTGGTCGGGTCAGCCAGCGCGAAGGCGTACGCGGTGCCGACGCCCTTCGCCTTGAGGTAGTCGTTGTTTGCGCAGCGGATGTAGATGGGCTTCTCGGGCTCGCGCCACCCGTGAGGGAAGTAGTCGGGCGTCGGGAACATGTTCATGCCCGCCTTGGAGTCGACGCCAGCGGCATACGATCCCGGCATGTTCACACCGGCGGTCGTGTCGTACGCGTCGACGACCTTGACATGCCCGACAAGCGCGTGTGCCTGCATCGCGTCCATGCGCGCCACGTACATGGCGAGCATGATGCACGTGTACGAGAGGACGAGCGGGACCGTCTTGGGCACGTCGATGTCATTCACCGCGCGGAACATGTCGCCCGCGACCTTGCGGTAGATCGGCTGGAGCGGGTCCTCCTCGATGGCGTACTCTGCTCCGCCACCTGAGCCAGTCGCCGGCCCGGTGGACAGCTCGAGGGGTAGTGCGGTGACGGACTCGACCATCACGCCCATGTTCGAGGGCTCGTCCACGGCGTCGGCCACAGGCGTGCCGATCGAGGCAGGCGAGCCCATGTAGACCGGGATGAGGCACGCGAGCAGGACGAGTAGGATGGAAGCGCCGATGTACGGGCGAGGCAGCGCGGTGACGAACGAGGTGAACTTGACCCACAGCCCGCCGCGCGCCCGTGCCTCCGCCGCATTGCGCGCCGCCGTCTTGGCCTTGAGGATGGCGGGCGTGTCGGTGGGGTTGGAGTCGGGGAAGGTGTCCTCGACCTGGTCGGTGCCGACGCCAGCGACAAAGCCGCCGACGATGCCGTCCGGGTCGAACGTGCGGGTGACAGAGTCGGCCAGCGCCGCCCGCACCTCCTCGTGGTCGGTAGCGGTGGAGTCCGACTTCTTGAAGGGGTCGTGCGGGAGGGTGCGGCCGGGGGACTTGGCGCACACCTTCTTGTACGAGGACTGGGCCATGCGCACCTTCG